TTTTTCTGGGCTTATGTCAAGAGTAAGTACAAATCTTCGTCCGTTTCTAATAACATGAAATATAACAATACCACCACGGCAATTAGTAATCTTTTTGCCACTTATTTCCAGACAAATTTTTCCACTACGAGCATCAGTCCTCAGTCAAGGGGGAGTGGCTCTGTGTATGTGCCGGATGAACTTGTGGATTGTTCTGGTTGTAGTATATCCTCTATCGAAGTTTGTTCGTCTGATGTTACTGAAACTTCTCGACTTATCCAAAGGTGAAGGACCCGATTCTGTGCCGGCTGTGCTTCTTGTAAACTGTGCTGAATCATTGGTAGTTCCTATCTGTATCCTATTCAAGCGGTCTATTAGAAAAGGGCTCGTGCATAGGATATGGAAGTCAGCATTCATTACTCCAGTACACAAAACAGGGGAGAAGCATAATATTGAGAATTATAGACCCATATCAAAATTATGTCTAATTGCTAAAATTTTTGAAAATTAGGATATAAGCAAGTGTACGCTGCTTTTGGTAAATGTCAGCATGGTTTTCTTGGCAACCGTTCCACGACGTCAAATTTAGTTGCGGCTGCTGATGTTGTTTCGACTGGTATGGAGGACGGAGCTCAGGTGGACGTTCTATATACTGATTACAGTAAATGTTTTGATCGCATTGACCACACAATATTACTTGATAAATTATCGAGGGCTGCTGTCCACGGTAATCTATATAGATGGTTCTCGTCCTATATTGATAGGCGCAGTCAAGCAGTGGTTCTTTCCGGTTTTAAATCTACTTGGAATTTTGTTACCTCGGGCGTGCCACAAGGGTCTCTGTTGGGCCCATTAAGTGTTTCGTAATATCTTACTCACGTAAAAAAACTCATTATCGTTGGAGGTTATAGTCTTCTAGGGAGTTGTATGAATAGAGTGGACAGTGTCAGGGATCTAGGCGTGTATTTTGATTCCCACTTGCTCTTCGATAAACATGTTGAGAGTATAGTCGCTAAAGCATATAGAGCCATGGCGTTCTTGATGCGGACGTGCATTGATTTTACCGACATAAAACCTATTAAAATATTGTACTGTTCTCTTGTACGCAGTGTTCGGAGATACGAAGTTTACAAATCACGTATTGAAGCCATACAAATAAAGTTTTTAGGGTATTTAAATTATAAGACAGAACAGCGAATGGCAGGCTATGTGGACAGTACAATCAATCATCTATTGACATAGATCTGTTCAGTACTAGTGTAGGCTTGATTCGACGAATGTTTACTAAGAAATGCTTTACGTAGTTACCTATCTCTCATTATTTTGTTTCCTGTCTTTAAGATGTGCGTGTTGTTGGTTGGGCTATATAAGGTTCAATATTTCCATTTATATTATATTTTTTATATATTATAATATTTCTGTTTTACTTTTCCTTTTTTCCCTGCATTAGCAATTGTATCTGTTCTCAATGAGTAAAATAATATAATGTTGTTTACATTCCAATAATAATGTTTTAGTTTCTAAGCTAAAAACTTAATAACTTATTTATTGTGCTACTTATGGACATTTGTAATTAGCATTATCAGCTGTTACTCAACATTTATTTATTGTTAAAAATTTGCTGTAAATCTTCCTAAAAATAAATAAATAAGTAAAATTACCGAAAAACAACATTTAAAGTTGTGCCGACGTTTCAAAATTAAAACTTGTTAACGCGGCGGGTCCGTTTCGATTTGACATCCTCTCCAATGGACGCTGAAAAAAAGATCCTAATCAGGGAATAACTTATATTATACCTATAGATTTTTTTATTTATTTAGAACTTTATATAAATATTTTATATAATGACACTTCTAACGTTTTCTAAATTATATTTGCAAATCTGACGGGGCTGCTTCAGACTATTTAATAAATTTCAAACAGGTTTCAGCAGATAATGAAGGTCTCGTATCAACACCGCATTTTGTTCGTATAGAACTTATTCTAATAACAAATTATATGCATATACGACTACTTGGCATAACTAGCAATTTGGACAATTTTTATTAAAAAAAAAAACAATGTGCCAGGGGAATGTTTCCGGTTATTTGGCAAAATCCATATAATACAAAAAATGGCGGTTAGCTTTAAAAGAAATTCTCTAAACACTAAGTAAATGACGTAAGGCACAAAAATGTTGACTATTTCTATCACGTGTGATGCAACAGCGTGTTAAAAGTCAAGCCAATTTAATAAAATCTAAAAGGATTATTCTAAAATGAAACTACAAATTTACAATATGGCGTTTTATTTTTGCACTTTTTCAAACAAAAAAAATAACAAATATAAATTTTGTCTAAAAAATAAACAACATTTGTTAGCACTACTAACGAGTTTCTAAGTTGATTTAAACAAGTAACCAATAGTGGACTGTAATAAAGCTTTTCAATAAGTTGTTTCTACACTAGAGGCCTATCTCAAAAATATACTTGTTCATCACGTAGATGGTTAAAAATAATGAGACATACCGAATCAACCTGATTATTATAACCAATTAACCAGAGATGGATAGTGGTTTAAAACCTAAGCAACCTGCCCGGGGTTTAACCAATTTTTGCCCAAAATCATGGGGAAAACGGCGAAAACGAAATTTGGTATAATACTATACTTATTACAAGTGGACTTGGAAACACTTACTATAGTTGTCACCAAATAAGAGGCCAAATTTGATAGCCAAAGAAGGCGATAGTATGTAACTTTGAATGTGATCAAGGAAACAATAAACAAACAATTATGTACCCGACTAAAAATCCTTTTATTGGATATCGAATTGTAGTGACGATGAGTTTCTTTTGAAACAATTTTAATTTTATTTTATTCGACAAGCAGTAGTTATACTACTTTATTTTATATTCATTATTATTATTATAATTTTATTACTGACGATCATAGTTATCCCTTGACATTGTATTTCCAATTGCAATATTGTGACATTGATAACATGAAATAAACGATTATATTCTATTCTATTGGCATAAATGAGTTTAAAACAATACATAAATTTTATTGAAACATTATATAATATGACAAAACATATTTGAAGTTGTTTTGGCGCGAATTCCAAAATAAAATGCAATTTTGGGTTACTCCGAAACGTCCTGAAAAACAGTTACGTCCTCAATTTTTTCTTAAATAAAGTGATGTAAGCAATTAATCGCCGAATTTCACCGAGTCATTTTGATTTCTCGGAAAAAATATTTGTAGTTGTTTTATTGACGAACATATTTAATTACACTAAATTCTCGTAATAAACCATTTATGGATATTATAAAATCAAAATTAAAAGAATTGGACACAATTCATCGGAATGTGGGACTATTTTACAAAAGTAAGAGGAATTGCTACAGAATTGCAAGGAATTCTGTAAATGAATTGCTTTTAACTGAATTGCACCATTTGGCCTTTTAGGCCCCCTGAACAACAATGAACCGAAAAATAATCTAAACAATTGCAAACTCTTAAAATTTTGAGTCGATTTCTCGTGAAAATCGTATAATATGATTACCGATGATATGATTAGTCCACATCCCTATTCGCGTCACGATGACAAGTGTCAAATTTGGCCTCTTAATTCTTAGACTATGGAAACCAAAGGACATGTTATATTGACATATATAAATCAGACGTTATATGTATATGATGCATTTAGATGTTGAAAATATAAACATTTTATTGTCTTTGTTTACTACTGCGTGCCGTTGTAAGCCAAAAGAGATAGCACTAAATTGATTTATGTCAAACACGGGAATCGAAAATACGTAATGTCCTCTTAAATGCCAAATGTCCTCATTTTACCATTTTTGGAGCACCCTTTGATAACCGCTTCCGGTTGTCAAAGGGAAGTACATCAAATGTCAAAACCAATATTTGGCCAAATGTTTTATTGAATTATTCGCATGAATTGTAATGAAATGGACAAAAATATTGACAGTGAGAACAATTAAGTATTGATTAAAATGCCTCGCTGCAGCCTTAAGGGGTGCGGCAGTAGAAAATCTGAAATCGACCGAATGCTACATTACACCGGCATGTGTTATTTTTTTCTGCCTATAAATCATATAATAGCCCAAATATCTAATGTAATTAGACTCATTTAAGCCGTTTATTCACGTCTTGCCGAATTTTCTTTGGTTACTTTGGATTGCCTGTTTGTTAGTATATTTTGATGATTGTTGATAACGATTATTTTAATATAGTGTTATTCTTTTAAGCAGACATATTATCGATATTCTGTTGTTAAAACAATTCACTACGTTTTTATTATTACATTATTATTATTATTTTTGAAGTGAAAAACGAGAGAAAGAATGGTTGGAAATTATAGGACTGCCGAACATAAACATTGGATCAAATATCATCTTTATTTGTTCGCTCCATTTTGAAGTCAAATTTTAATAGAACTTTGAATGTAACAAGATTACATTATAATGCAATTCCATCGTTACATTTATTGGTAAATAACTTTATATTTAATTTTGATTAAAATGGCTCATTACTTGCCTAGTAACAATAGCCTAGTATTAATCATACTTTCATTACAGTAAACTATACAAATTTGCAAACATAAAAAACAGTTTCAACATTCAAGCCATACATTTGCATGTCGATATCGACTTGTCTATGATTATGGTACAACACTAAATCCGCCATTTGTGCTGGACATTTTTGGTTTAGGGACGTTTATTCCGTAGATAGGGCAGCTCCTTTCCTATATTTTTTCCATCCTCTAAGTCTTAATTGGTGACGACTATACTAAATGTAATTTTCGATTTTTATGACAACCGATTCAAGTGTAAAAACGACTTTTCCATTTCAATGCGATTTTCAAGCGAATCGATCCAATAGAAAGGCTAAATATAGTTAGCAAGCAATAAATAATTAAAAACAAATATAGTAGAGGTAGAGCTCCTTGTGAAAGTGTTCGTCCAGGGAAGTACTGCCACCTTACCTATTTCTGTCGCCAAAGGGTTAAGGGTACTGGTGAAATTACAGGCACATGGGACTTGTCAACTTATGTTTCAGGGTGTCGGGCGCAGTGGCAGTGCCCCTCAGTTCTTTGTGATTTAAAGCTCTGAGTGACACCGCAACTGTTAGGGACAGGCGTGACGCGTATCACCGTATACGACGTGAAAAGTATTATAAATATATATACTGTAATAATATCATAACCTTTGAATAATACTTGATTTACAAATATTCAGTTAAAATTAGTTTTTGCCCATGATTTCGGGCGTTAATGAGTTTTAACCCGATTAAAACATGGCGTTAACAAAAGCACCGGGTTAAAACCCGGGCACTTGCCCGTCTCTGAGCATCTGAATACAGCAGTGCAATACATATTAAATAATACAATACTGTGATACAAGGGGTTTTCACGTCTCTCGTTACAACTGTACTCAGCTGTGTGAAGTTTAAAGACACAATATAGGGTGTTTGGTAAAATGATAATGAAAACTCGTAAAATGACAGATCTAAAATATAAAATAAAATATAATAAATACTTACAAATTCTATGATTTTGGTTTTTCTACGCGTACAATACTATATTTGACTGTTAGTAAAATAATTTAAAAAAAAACAGCTACTGTATTCGAAAAGCGACAAGTTTGTATTGAACCCTGACATATTAATATCAACGTTCGCTTTTGACACCAAAGTTCTGGATGACCAAAGAAACTAGTCATTTTTGACGAGAGTTCAAATCGAACTTGACAGCTTTTAAATTGTAATACGTATTGTGTATTTCTATTTACGTGTATCCTATGTTACCTATGATAGCATCAACCACATCGGTTGAAGAAGCTGTGCCCCCAATATCTGGTGTATGGATCCTGCAAAAAAAACCAAAAATATGTATTATATTTATTATTTATTATATTAATATTTATTAAAAATATTTATATATTCTTTATTGTACAAAGAAAAGACACATAAAACACACGTTACAATGGACATATACATAGGTGAGCTTATCTCTATAAGAGATCTCTTCCAGCCAACCCTAGCCGTGGTGCAAAAATGAAGTCGTGGTGTAAAAATCGGTTCTCACTACTCAAAGTATATTGAGAGGAAAAACGCCTTGAATTGGAGAAATAGCAAAATTAACCATTAAAATAATTGCTCCTAAATTAAATTTAGGCGCTATTTATAAAAATGAATCCTCATGCGTGAACAGCCACCCTTAGATGTGGATGATTTTCTTCAAAATGAAATGGGACCACTATGGAAGTACCCCCTTTTCAACAAAAAAAAGAATCATGAAAATCGGTTCACAAATACCGGAGTTGTCGCGTTACATACATACAAAAAAAAGAAAAAAGAACATACAGTCGCATTGAGAACCTCCTCCTTTTTTGAAGTCGGCTAATAAATACATACATAAGCAGAATATGTATTATAATAACAAATTACTTGTTTATTATTATATATATGTTACCGATTAGCTATCTAACGCGTTCGACAGAAGGCGCTCTTTTAATTTGTGTTTGAAAGATGCTCCCGATGGACTGTCACGAATGTTAGCAGGCAGTTTATTCCACATACGAGCTGCACTTATCGTAAATGAATTGTGAAAGAATAAGGGATATAATAGTGTTCTAGTGTTACAGGTATATTTTGGGCGGGAATTGGCGGGATAAGGGAGAAAAACGGAAACACAGATAATGAGGAAGCTGGGGGTTATTTAGAATTTTATAAAGAAGACAAAGAACGTGCTTATCTCGGCGAAGATGGATTGGGTGCCATTTCAACTTAGTCCGAAATTCAGAGATATGGTTCACATTTACGTAAACCGAATATGAAACGGATTGCCAGATTTTGTTAGGGTTCTAGTTTGTTAAGCAGCTCCTCAGTAGCATCCACAGAACTATAAATACAGTGGAAGTGGTTAGTTAGCGTCAGGCGCGTGCCAATTACAGGTCTCGAAAGACCTATCTGAGCTCAGTCCATTTTCGCTTTGTATGGTATGGTTGTGTCATTTTTTCGTGCAAATTCTCTAAAATCCCCGAAAAATGCCTTATTGTACTGTTTTGGTGATAGCCGTACCATAAATACTACCTGTGGTGGTATTTCAAGTTTTACTCTAATAATTTTTTTTTTTTTTTTTCATCGAAATATTTTTTTGTCACAAGAATCGAAAGTAAAGAGAACTAAATTAATAACTCCAATTCGTCGCCGTTCAGCAATTAACCGCTAGATGGCAGCACATTAATTGAAATTTAAACAATATCAAAACGTCGTAACTTGCTATAATAGGTATTGATGGTATTGAATTTTCAACGATATGCCAACGGGGTAAAGTTTAAATTATATTAACAATCCAGAATTTGTAACTTCTTTTTAAATTTGAAACAACGACCAATCGATATCAAGATTTTGTAATGTTTCAAATTAAGAATGGGTGAGTTTTGGCGACATCGGTTCTCATAGTAATCGAGGCTTAAGGCACTTCCATTGTATTTTTCTTCCGTGGTAGCATCCAAATAACAAACATCAGCATAGTCGAGAAAAGGGAGTAGTAAGACTAAGCAAGTATAACCTTGGTGTTGAAGAAGAATTGAAGCCACTTGAGAGAATGATAGGAAAAGTGCATGGGTCGACTAACCTCACGCACCTGTAGTCTCCAGGACAGTGTATGGTCGATTATCAAATATATAATAGCAGTAGAGTTCCACGGTCTTTTTTTTATAATATCAAGTGACGGGACGAACAAGTCGTGCGCCTGATGGTAAGCTACACGCCTGTCCATAACAGTTGCAGTGCCACTCAGAGCTTTAAATCGCAAAGATCTTAGGGGTCCTGCCACTGCGCCTGTCAACCTGAGATATAAGTTGACAAGTCCCATGTGCCTGTAATTTCACCAGCATCCTCACCCTTCGAAACCGGAACGCAGTAATACTGCTTGGCGGCTGAAATAGGTAAGATAGCTGGACTTCCCTGGACGAACTCTTTCACAAGGAACTCTACTGCTACAAAAGCATTTTGAGACTTGTAACGCCTCACGACTCGACTACACTTTTAACCCTTAAGTCTTGAGTCATCAAAAAATTAAGACTACTTTGACTCGAAGTTTTTACATCTTGATAATTATCAATGATAGTGAATTATCACTTCGACCCCTGAATAGTAGATAATATTTATATAAATTTATCCATTTTCAAAGTGATAATTATCAAAGATAGTGAATTATCACTTCAAACCATGACTAGTAAGAATGAATATATAATTTTTCTATACTTGTCCACGTTGATGGTTTTGTTAACGGCGCGCCGGATGAGGTCGGCGTGGAAGTGGTGACCGAGATGCTCCAGCATGCTGACTGATGCGTTGATCATCGCGATCGGGTTCGCGATGTTCTTGCCCGCGATCGCAGTGCCTGCGCAATCACAATTAATCCTAATGTTACTTTTACAACATTTTATAATAATAATAACCTATCGATATACAGGTTGATTTTTAAATCCTTACGTCACCTTACACTTACCAGTATTTCTAGTGCCGGGTTCGAAGACCGCATAGTGGTCCCCGTAGTTCCTGCCTGAGAGCAACCCGGCTCCGCCCAAAACACCGCAGACGACGTTGGAAACGATCGACCCGTAAAGATTTGTCATCAGCATCACGTCAAATTGGTGAGGCCTGAAACAAATACCATATTTATGGTCTGCCTTTTTTGAAGATAGAGTAAAATGACATTTGCAGAGGTGCCAGATTTCATAAAATTTTTCATGAGAGTTGTTTTCGATACTTTTATTTTTATTTCACTGCCTCAGTGGCCGAACCATGCCAGAGGTCCCAGGTTCGATTCCCGGGAAAAATACTTGTATGGCCTACATTTATTTCTCTCGTGAGTTTGGGTGTAATTTGTTGTTGTCTATGTGTGTGCCCATGGCACCCGCTACACAGGGTTTCCCTAGTGCGGGGCTATGCTGAGTGCGTGCGTTATTATTATTATTGATCGATTGTGAAAGAAGGTACAGTTTTGCCAAAAATGTCTGAATGGCGGTTCTAAATGATTATTAATTAAGTTATTGTTTCCTTTATTGTTGTTTTGACAGTTTGCTTACAAGATGCATCGAAATAAATTTTTAATCATATACATTTAAAAAAAAACAACAATCCAGATTTGATTATATACATTGTATATTAAATTAAGATGAAAAATTCTAAAATGTCTCCTCTTGGTATATTTAACAGACATAGATCTAAATGAAATGTATAAAAATTAACAATTCTGATTTATCTCGCATTAGCTTAATCAACATTTAGTCGATATAATAATTATCGACTGTGTGTGGTACAGCACTATAAAATATGTTAATAGGTAATATACGGGCACATCTCTAATTCATTATCTTATTATCTTTCATTATCTCTGCTCTGTTAGCACATATAGAAAATTAAGTTATAATCTACAGTTAAAAGACAAGCGTTTTATTGAATATCAACGCTACAGACTGCAATTACTAGCTGCTTCGAACTTTCATTTTACTCCATCTTCAAAAGACAAACCATAAAAATAAATATAAATACTCGTCACCTTTTTGGCGACCTTGGCAGCCGAGCGGTAGGCCCGTTAGGACCAATTTGGGAAAATAATTTTTCAGTATTGTATCTTACTTGGCCACAAGCTGCATGCAGCAGTTGTCAATGATCATATCGTTGTGTTCGATGTCAGGATACTCCTTCGCCATCTTGCGTGACGTTTCGAGAAACAGACCGTCCGAAACCTTCATAATGTTCGCCTTGTGCACTGTTGTCACCTGAACAATACATATTTAATTATTAATACAAAGAGCGAACACAAAAGAAACTTCCTTCGACACGCACGATTGGACCTGTCGGATCGAAGTAATTTTTCTGATCCACCACAAAAAACATTCTGAAATTCAATAAAAAATCTATAATACATATTTATTGATCTGCAAAATTTTATTTCACGTTGTGTAACGATCAGGGTTCGACGTTATCATTATCATGGATAATTATCATGGATAATTATCATGGATCATCAATCATGGATTATCAAAAATTGATAACTGTCACGATAATTGTCTTGACAAATACACTTTTTTTTACAAAATGGATTTTATATATTTTTTAAATTCTTTTAACTAGATACTAACTGCGTTCCGGTTTTTGCTTGCTGGTGAAATTATAGGCACATGGGACTTGTCCACTTCTGTTTCAGGATGGCGGGCGCAGGCGTGTCGCTTACCACCAGGCCCACGACTGGTCAGTCCCATGACTTAGTGTCATAAAAAAAAACTTATGTAGACACTAGCGACGTCATTCATATCACAAATTGTTTTTAAATCACCTATAAAATATAGACTAATTTTACAACATGATATACTATAGCATCATGCTGGTAATTACATTGCGTATCGGACGTTACGTTTACATTTCGTTTCGTATAGTCGCGGTGGGCTCACGTACATTATTGAAGAGGCCGGGAAGTAAGGGATTGCTGGACGAGTATGAGTTACAAGGACGAACGCCAAGCGAGGCGTTGTACTAATACGAGTTAAGCAATCCCGTTCCCGCCGAGGCATGTATAGAATTTTTCTCAAATAATGCGAGGAAATAATAAAAGACTAAACAGAAGAAGACGTATAATAGATAAAGTAAAAAAATATTAATTAACATTAAAATTTATACAAATTTTTCCAGGTACATTGACTGATTTGTTTGAATGTATATCCATGCATTTTCGTCATTGCTCTTCTCACTAGCACCCATTTTCGCGACCAAAACACAAAAAAGTCAACAAAACAATACCAAAACACGTATAAATGTTACCGCCATTTTATTTTTTTTAAGTAAGCAGTACAGGTAGGTTGTTTTTAATTCTCGCAGTTATGAACACTAGGCAGTTAGGTGTATGAGTTTTTCCTTTGCCTGTTTACATAGTTCATTGTTAAGTAGGCAGATTTAAAAGTTTAGAGACGAGGACAGTAATAGATTTTCATACTTACTTTGCGGGCCTTGGCCGAGAAGAAGTCGCACGGTCCATAAATGACAAACTTTCCGTGTTCGTTTTTTGAAAGTAATGCAAACATTTGCGAGCATGTTTGAGAAATGTGATTTTTTGAAAAAACGTACACGGAAGGTTTGTCATTCTATTGTTTGTATTGTGTAACATTGAAAGATGTTACTTTCGATCATTGACTTACAAATAATTGGACGTCGGGTCTAATACAAAAACCACGAGAAATAATGTCCCAAGTCAACCTATTTAAACGTAGTGACATGTAAAGGAATATGAAAAAGCTAAAACGT